AAGCGGTCACCCATCTAAGTCGCGATGTTGCTTAACTTCGGTGATCATACGAGAACTAGCGTTTCAACGCTATATGGCCTCGAAAAGCAGGGTCGATTTTTTGCCCGCCAACTGTCAAATCTGAGCTTATTTCACCCGACGAAAAAATGAATTTCGTTAGTTTTATTCAACCCCGGTATTGATATAGTTTTTTTGAGGTATTTATTTTTTTGTAGTCTTCACAGTTAAATGTCTAATTCCGATATAAACTATACATGGCGGGGGTGGGGCGAATAAGACTGACGAATTTTATTTTTTAGTCGGTTGAAATAACCTTGTTCACCCCCCCCTCCAAAAAAAAAACAACAGCCTTTATTTTAGTTTGGCGCCATGCGTGATACGCGCTTAGGCGATCATGTATCTTCCGATACATGACTGACGAGGAAGTTTTTTTTTTCCCGCAGTTTATTACCATTTCTTTCTGCGATAGACCAGTTGCCATCCAATGCTATAAAACCCTATCTGTCCTGCTATTTACCCATAGCTGGGAGGAGAAGAATAGGATTCATACTTTTCCCAATGTTATTATCAGTCAGTCAGTTATGTGTCATGCGTGATACACGCTTAGGCGATCTTGTATCTTTCGATACATGACTGACTTGGAAGTTTTTTTTTTCCGCAGTGTCTAGCTATTTCTTTCTGCGTTAGACCAGTTGCCATCCAAGGATATAAAGCCCGCTCTGTACTGCTATTTACCCATAAGTAAGAAGAGGATTCATACCTTTCCCAAGGGTATTAGCACGTAAGTGAATGTAATGGATTTGACTGGAATTCGAACTCGGCTCTCCGATTCCTCAATCAGAGTTCGAATTCCAAATGAATCCATCATGCCTCCCACAATAATAGACTGGCTGCATACTCTTCATATTGTGTACATGAAGTAAGCGCCTCATGGCTACATTACGCTGAAATATTGGTTCCCGTATGTTTACCGAAGTTATATCGAGCCTGGTCAGTACCTCGATGTGTGGCAACTTGAAAATACCGGTTACTGTAAGCTGTGGGTATGTGGGTGGTGTAGTGGATAATGGCTGGAAACTGTTAATCGGACATCCGAGTTCCAATTCCCGTTGGGTTCGTTATATCCACTTAGGCGTAAATACACTTGGGAAAGGTATGAATCCGCCTCCTCTACCTCCAGCTATGGGCTAATTAGTAAGACTTGAATCCCTTATTATCTCAAAAAAAAAAAAAGAGAAGAAAATATCGTAATCTAAATATATTTCCCTGCTTTTAATAACCCGCAAAGGGTTGATAAACCGTAAAAAACGAATCGATCAATGAATTAAATAAATTCTGGATTAAAAATCTTTAAAAACGAAAATACATTTGATACACCTCAATATATAATAGCATTAAAAGTAACGGAGGTATAGATTGTCTCCAGATGAGTATTTAAAGGTGAACTTCATTAAGAAACGAAAATACATTTGATACACCTCAATATATAATAATATACATAGATAATGGAAGTATACATTGTCTTTAGATGAGTATTTTTGGGTGGGGGGAAGTGCTTTAAAAGAACGAAAATTCATTTGATACGACCTGGCATTTTTAAAAATATCTCCCAATGTGTTTCTTTTTTACGTCGATTATTCTAGAATTCAAGAATAAAGCCCGCTTTATGCCGCGAAAAAGAAGAACAAACAAAGATGTATCAAACCTCTGACGTATGATGTCCGTATACCGTTCCCGAAGATATATTTGGCACAGTAGGTCATTGTATTTGCATTCAAAGAACTGAGTCTTTGATAAACGAAAACTTGTTTCATCTTGGTTTAAATCTCGTACTGTTTTTGTTCTTATATTCTTGTTCGCATTATTGCATAAATATTTGATGTTTTAATACACACAAGAAGACAGTGTAATCAATACATTCTGTTTCAGTTGAATGCTTAGAAAAGATACGCATAATGACGACTCGAACAGGACTGTCTACTCACATAGACGGCAGAATGAAAACAATCTTAACCTACGCTTGGAATAAAGGGTTCAGCTTTGAATTCTCAGAAAGCAACGAAAAACAATTTGAAATATACAACGGCAAGCAATAATTTGACTATGACAATCAAAATGTTGATTGGCAGTTCGATGACCACCCACCTGATTGCACTAATCGCACCGGACCCCCGATTGTCTATCGCCATCGAATTCTATTTTTCATTATCAAAGAACATAGAGTCAGATCTGCAGGATAATTCTGGAGAGCTAAATATGAAATACTTCGCGAAGTTCTGTTGTAGGAACCTAAACAAGGAAGAGCTAGCAAATGACGTCAAGCCAAGCATATATATATATATATATATATATATATATATATATATATATATATATATATATATATATATATATATATATCTCAAACAGATTTGTGACATAATCTTTAATCTTCTTTGACCTCCCAAATATGATGTAAACGATTTCGATGAAATCAGTATATAATACGCATTTTATATTAATTGTTTTAAGGCCGGGGTTCCCAAACGATATTGGGCCATGATCTGGAATTTTTCAAAATTCTAATACCCTCTCTGTAATATTTAATTCTTAAATATTCAAAATTTTGCTGAAATTCATGTGAAGGAAGCTTAAAAGGCCATTAACTTGGTCTCTACAGACAATGGCGTCCATCAAATAGAAAAATTAAAAAAAACAAAAAGACAGTTAAATATATATAGTTTCAAAATATATAATTGAGAACTGAATGGTAGAAATATAAAATATTTGAATGAAAGTTTATTCTGTAATAGACTTTGATTATTTTAATCCTGAAATAATTATTCAAAATGTAATTTGAGCTCATCATAAAATCACTGTTAATGAGATCCTTGTGCGTCATGCCTGTTACAGATAGATTTTACATTAGGCACCAAATTAGTGAGATTATGCCTCAAGTCACCTCGTTTAGTGATATCCAGTTGATTTCTTTTCTTCAATAACAAATCATTTACAGCACGAAAGCCACATTCAGCTAAATATGAAGATGGAAATGGTAACAACAATTTTCTTGCAACGCTGATTAAATTTGGATATTTTTTTTTAAGCGTTTCACCCCAAGCAAGGCGGGAAGCCACTAGCACGCAAGGGGGTTACAGGGAGTTGGAGCGAGAACAAAGAGGAGTGGTAGAGGAAAGGATGAAGAGAAGGATAGGGGGATATATCAAGGCATCTGGAGTCGTCGATAGACATTACATTTGAATAGTTGGAGATTATTGTTATCAGGGAAGCAGGAAAAGGAGAGGGAGTTCCACAGTTGTGAAGTGCGAGACATGAAGCTTTTGGAGTAGAAGAGACGGCTACATTTAACTGTTTCGACAGTGAAAGGGTGAGAGCGAGATGGCAGCCTAGTTGAACGCTTAAATTCATGAAATCTGGGAACCAGCGAAAGCAGCTCATTGGAGCAGTTACGATGAAAGTATTTGTAAAAATGACAGAGGAAGGCAACGGCACGTCTGTAAGAGAGCGACTGCAGACGAGATGCCAGATCATGGCCAATTACATTGCATATCCGTCTCTGGATCTTATCAAGAACCTTGAGACAAACATAAGAGGCACCAGACCATATATGGCAGCAATACTCCATGCAAGAACGAATGGTTGATTTGTAGATTTGAAGTATCAATTCCGGGGAGAAAAATTTCCTGGCGCGGCACAGGGAGCCAACTTTCCTTGCTGTGGACGAAGCTATTGACTTTATGTATTTGTTCCATGTCAAGTCAGCAGTCAATGTGAGGCAAAGAGGAACTCTCGAGAAGTTGAGCGTCAGACATTCTAATGGTAGGGGCAGGGATGTTTTAGATATTATTTCATCACAAAGCCATGCCAGTATTCCTTTTATATCTGAAATTCCTAGAATCTAACGATTTCAGATAAACCTTTCTAAACGGAAGCTATGGTCTGTAACTAAAATGGAAGTAATGATGACAACTCCTCTGAATCCATCATAAAAATTCTGAAAGTTAAAATGTTAAATTATAAACGCTTTAACCACTTCGTTGTCAGGAATAGTTTTAAAATAGATTTAGTATAGTAGAAAAGCGGGAAAACTTGTGTTAGAGGCACTTTTTGCACAGTATCGTAAGGTCCTACAAAATGAAAATACAGACTTAAAAACTTGACGCATGCGCTTAAATAGCCTCGTCAGATCTAGATGGATTGTATGCATAGTGTCCGACACGTATAGAAAGGTCTAAACTATCACTTATATATACAAGCGTCTTCTCATCTCAATGATTAAAATGGCTTCAAACGAATTAATCATATAAAGCTTAATGGAGACCAGTACTTCAAATCACTAACGAAGAACACTCTTAACATAAACAACGTCAATTGAAGACTGACTACTGCAGCAACAACCGAAGGGAAAGAAAAAATAATTATGTAATCAATATCTTGACATTTCACATGACCTTAAACAAAAGATTTGGAAGGAAACTCACATCCGTCTACGAAAGAGCTATAAAAGTTAGTGGGACTCCATTTCTGAATGATAATTTTGCTAAAAACAAAGCAAAAAACAAAACTTTCCTAACATTCAACCGACGGTAACATTAACTCTTAGATTAATGAATGTCGAATGATTCCTACACGGAAACAGTTGTTTTCCACATTGCATTTATGATATTAATAAAATGTCCTCCTTTTAGAAACAGCTGGCAGACACTGGCAGCTGATCTCTTATATGACCTAGCACTAACAGCACAATAGGGGAAATTGACGTTCAATGCCCCCAAAACCTAACTGGTACATTTTCATTATTACCAAGCTAACAATGAATCCTCGCGATGAAAGGCTGCACTCTCAAAGGACATATGGCAAACTAGTAAGGAAAATGTAGTGGAAAGAAATTAGGGGAAATGTTTGAGGGAAAAAAATGCCAGCAGAGTCATGAACGAGAAAGAGAGAAATAATTTTTTTATTGTAATGAACAAAGAATGAGATGGAGCGAGAATTAGCTATCAAGAAAGATCATTAGGTGGAATATTTTTAGATAGATAGATAAATAAATATGAACAGACTGCGATAGATAGATAGATAGATAGATATGAACAGACTGCGATAGATAGATAGATAGGAACAGACTGCCATAGATAGATAGGAACAGACTGCCATAGATAGATAGATAGATAGATAGATATTAACAAACTACGATAGATAGATAGATAGATAGATAGATAGATAGATAGATAGATAAATAAATATGAACAGACTGCGATAGATAGATAGATAGATAGATATGAACAGACTGCGATAGATAGATGGATATGAACAGACTGCGATAGATAGATAGATAGGAACAGACTGCCATAGATAGATAGGAACAGACTGCCATAGATAGATAGATAGATAGATATTAACAAACTACGATAGATAGATAGATAGATAGATAGATATGAACAAACTACGATAGATAGATAGATAGATAGATAGATAGATAGATAAATAAATAAATATGAACAGACTGCGATAGATAGATAGATAGATAGATAGATAGATAGATATGAACAGACTGCGATAGATAGATAGATAGATAGATAGATAGATAGATAGATAGATAGATAGATAGATAGATATGAACAGACTGCGATAGATAGATAGATATATATGAACAGACTGCCATAGATAGAGGAACAGACTGCCATAGATAGATAGATAGATAGATAGATATGGACTGGGATAGATAGATAGATAGATAGATAGATAGATAGATAGATATGAACAGACTGAAAAAGATGGACAAATAGATATGAGTAAACTGGGACAGATAGATAAATAGATGGAGATATAAACATAAATGTTTAAATAAACGGATAGATCCTTACATACGAACAGACTGAGACATATGTACATATATTCATGATCGATCTCATTATTCTCTCATTGTTTTATCTATCTATCTATCTATCTATCTATCTATCTATCTATCTATCTATCTATCTATCTGTCCCAGTCTATTCTTACCTATCTCAGTCTGTTCCTCTCTATGTGTGTATGTATCTAAGTCTATATTTAACTATCTCAGTCTATTCCTTTCTATCTATCTATCTATCTATCTATCTTTCTATTTTAGTCAAGTCTATCTATCTATTCATCTAACTCTGTCTATTCTTATCTGTCTATCTCAGCATAATTCTATCTATCTATCTATCTATCTATCTATCTATCTATCTATCTATCTCTTCTTATCTGTCCATCTCAGCATAATTTTATCTATCTATCTATCTATCTATCTATCTATCTATCTATCTATCTATCTATCTATCTACTCCAAATTCATTATGCATCTCATGTCACAGATTCTTCTTTCAGCCAAGCCATATGCTCTTCGCTTCTTTAGGTAAGACCTTGTCATCCTATTGATTAATGCTAAAAGAAGACAGATGAATCTCGTACGGCTGCTTTCGGTATCTTGAAAACCTTTGACAAGTTTTAGCACGAACGCTCTTCTTCATAAGTTGAAAGGTTATTGTATTTCTGAGCGGAATTTTTGAGCTGATTCAGTCTTTCTTACCAACCCTCATCTTGATATCGATGCTGATGACAAACATTTACGCCTGTCTCGTTAGTAAATTTGATCAGTTCAATAAGGTCAAATTGGCAGCTCATCTAAAAAAAAACAATGTCCCAAAAATCTCTTGTTAACTTGGGCAAAGAATGACTTGTTAATTACAAACACCTCCCCCCCCCAAAATGGTCTTTGTTAAACACTTGAATGGCTCCTTCCTGCCTCCCATCAGTATGGCTGATGCTAACTTCCGTTGCGTCTCGGACTACTATTCTAGGCTGACCTGAAGTGGAAAGATTATAGTGAATTCATTGCTGGGTTTGCTGCTATGAATGTTGATTTACTATGTCGTGCATGACAATTTCTCCCTCCTAAATCTATTTTACATATAAGTCTACCATTCGTCCGTGCTTTGCATATTGATGCCACATTAGGCCCGGTTTTCCTGCTGTATATTCAGAGATTCGTGATAAAATGCAAAGAATCTGCAATATTATTCCTCCTAATATGGCATCTCGGCTTATTCACACTATCCCACCAACGTAGCTTTCTTGTGCCTTTTCTATAAATACTTTCGTGCCAGGTATGAATGTCAAGCGTAGTCCTAGATTGGCATCAATTCCCAACGAAGTGGTTAGATATAACTATAAGTTATATGCTAAAAGTTTCTTTTCTAACACCTCTTGCTTGTGGAATTCTCTTCTGGTTTCTTGCTTTCCAGCCAGCTTTGATTTTCAAAGATTTAAATGAAAATCGTTATCTAGTACCTTACACAGCTTTTGTTCTCGATCCTTAATAATATTTCTCTTTTTTCTTATTCTTTCAGCCTCCGTAACCTCTTGTGTCTTAGTGGCTTTACTCTCTTACACAGGGTGATATGATTAAAAGAATGCATAACAGTTAACTAATCTTTTCTTTGTTTCTAACGAAATTTTCCTGTTTCTTAATACTTTGCTTCGTTTCTGGAAGGCTCCTTTTGCTATTCCAATACAGCTTTAGATTTTGGTATCGCATTTTCTATCCGTTGTTTAAACACTGCATAGATATTTAAATAGTTCTTTTGATGCTTCTGTTTTCACGTTGGGTGTTATGGTGATTTTCCAAGCGTAGCTCAGATGTGGCACAAGGCCGAAAGTATGAAGCACCCAGCGAGGATCGAACTCACTACTCAGTCGTAATTGTCCTAGCGAGACAAGCTTGCTAACCATTACACCACCTCGAGGTGCCCCAGTAAATATTTCAAGCGTAGCTTAGATGTGGCACAAGGCCGAAAGTATGGAGCACCCAGTGAGGATCGAATTCACTACTCAGTCGTAAATGTTCTAGCGAGCCAAGGTTTCTAACCATTACAGCACCTCGAGGTGCCTTTTATTTTCGAAGCGTATCTTAGATGTGGCACAAAGCCGAAAGTATTGGTAAAACTCATTACGCGTAATTGTTCTAGCAAGACAAATTTGATAACCATTACACCGACTCGAGATGGTCAAATTGATTTTTCAACCATGATCTAGATGTGGCACAAGGTCAGAGTGAGTTGGTTAAGTCAGTCGATCTCCATCTCGGTCGACCGGCTGATCGGTTGAACTCTCTGCCTTCGGGCGGGGAGGAACCCGAAAGAGGCTACGCCGATGGGCGGAGTCTCTTTCGGGGAGGTAAACCGACCCTGAACCCGTTTATACGGGCTCAAAGGGCATATTTTTGGCCGAGCCCACGGGCTTGGAGATCCCACGTTAAACCGGCCTTGTGCCACATGATGCCCTCGTGGGGGGAGGGGGTGACTAAATATCGTTAGTTCGATCCTCACTAGCTGCCCCATACATTCGTCTCGCTAGAACAATTACGACTGAGTAGTTAGTGCGATCCTCAGTCGTAATTGTTCTCGCGAGACAAGCTTGTTAACCATTACACCGTCTTGTGGTGCCCAACTTTGGGTGTTATGATTGTAATTAATTTCTGTCCTCGTGTGCTTCTTAATCAAGACAAGCGATATTGCGGGCTGTAATTATCCTCCTGATTGCCGAAGGACCGAAACCTTAGGATAACTCCTGAGGAGGCTATCCTATCAACAAGGCCAAAGCATTGTTATTTTATGAATAGGACCTGAACTGTGTAATAATTCGCGGTGTGCTCTTCCGATGCTAGTGTAAAATGTATAAATAAGTATTTGCTTTCTGACAGTTTATTCAGTTTAGTCCATTTTTATATACAACAAGCTATCTCTGGTTTGTTATTGTAATTTGAATGAAAGCTAGAATAAAAAAAATGAAATGTCGCTAACGTCGAAGTGGGGGAGAAGGAAGAAGCGGTTACAGGTGATTTCTTTTATACAGAGATATTACGGTAAAATGATGAATGGGGAAAGAAGAAAGAGACTATAAAACTCGACCAAAAATTGCAGTCGGCGATTTTGTTTCGTTTGATTTTGTTTTGTTTTACGACATATCAACTTCAATGGGTCATTTAATATTTTTATTGCTGGTAATATTTTTTTTTACAAAATTATATTGCTGGTAATAATTTTCCCATCAAAAATGTATTGCTGGTATTAAAACCTATTTTTACATTTTCATAGTCTTTTGACCTCAGTTTGGGTGTTAAATATTTGTTCATAGCTGGGACCCTAACAGGTGCTACCACCCCGGGTCAGGGTGAACCCGGAAACAACAGCAATTAAGAGGTGGTTCCACACCCCTCAGAACCTCCTGATCAGAGGTCTTGCTGTTGGACGTAGTTTATCGTCTTACCCAGATCGCGGATATAATTTATCGCCTTACCCTGGACGCGGATGTAGTTTATGTTCTTACCCTGGACGCGGATGTAGTTTATCGTCATACCCAGGACGGATTTTGTTTCGGCGAACTTAACAAAGCAACGTGCTAGTCGGAGAGCGGGGAGGACGTACGAGAAGTGTCAAAAGAGACGCAAGGGAAGAAGGGGATTTGAGAATAAGGAAGGACGGGAGAGATCCTGGGAGAAGCGGAGGAGATTCGGACTACCAACCCCCATTGACACGCCCACACTCGTTACTTTTTCAAACGGCCTAGGTACCAATTTTCTTCATCTCCACATCTCAAAATATGATAAATACTAATACACACAGTACAGTCAAGCCCAGATTTTTCATACAAATAATTTCTCTATCTTCAACAGAGATTCTACTGTTGCATTCTGGAACGAACTCCCGAGAGGATATTTCCCCGATAACTACGATCTTAACATTTGAACGTCAACCGCTATCTATCATACACATCCTCCTAATATTCACTTCTTGCTCCTTTGTACAGCTTTACAGCAAAGCCATTTTTAATTCACTACCTACAGCAGCAACGTTTGGATGACTCAACAGTCTTTGGTCTGGAAACGCAATCTGATACAGCCGTGCAGCCTCGTGTCCATTACCATTCGCACGGCCGTATGTAAAAATCGCATATTCTAATTAATCGTAAACTTATGCTGCTGTCTAGCCTGTATTGTACTATGGGGATTCCGATTCGCCCACAAATGTTGGTTTTGTAAATTTGTTATTCCATCTCTTCCAAATGTAGAATCATCCATAAACGAGACTAAAGAGACAACGGGTCGACTGTTTGTGCAATAAACCATCGGTAAAAGTTCGCCTGTAAGGAGTGATCACAGAGCGAAAGACCCGGCACACGTTGCAAATGATACGGGAGCTTCTCTTGAAGTACTCTCTATGCGGCACTATGAGATGTACGTCATGTTAGGGTCACTTGACGTGGGCTGATACGTGGATCGTCACCGATATCCTGTAGAATGTGATCTTCGAGGTTAGACGTACGAGCAGATCTCGGGCTTCCTCGATCCATAATTTGTGGTGCCATGTATCCTGTTTTAGCAAGGCGGCGATAAACAGCAGCAAGGTTTGGATCCCTCAGGTGTCTTCGGTCTGAAAATGCAATCTGATACATCCGTGCAGCCTCCTGTCCATTACCATTTGCACGGCCGTGGTCAGGCTTACGAGCGGATCTCGATCTTCCTCGTTCCATAGTTTGTGGTGCCACGGATTCTGTTTCAGCAACGCCACAATAAACAGCAGCAAAAGTTGGAAGACTCGACTGTCTGGAAACGCAATCTGATACAGCCGTGCAGCTTCGCGTCCAGTAACATTCGTGCGGGCGTATGTAATCTTTGGGGGCGAGATTCTGAAACTAAAATAAGGTAAAATGTCAATATAATCATATGTCCGCAAGGCCAATCGTTGTACCTTAATGCGGCAACTCATAACAAATATTCAAAATGTCCTCTGCTTGCTTCTACATACGCATG